GTTTTTCCCTCTCGTCGTCTTCTAAACTTCACTTGGTATCTCTTAAAGTAGGCCTTATTCTTGACAACCTTAACAAAACCCATCCTGTGTAATATAGACCCGTGTCTGCTGCCCTACACAGACCTGCAGGCCAAGCAGCACCACAGGGGGAAAAAGCCGGCACAGTTATTTGTTCCCTACCTGCTTTTATAGTTTCTTTGTTGTTATGGCAACCATGCCCCCTATGTCCTATACGTGTGGGGGCATGACAGGAATATGATGCCCCTATATCCTATAGGTGTGAGATCTCGGACAGAGGGATTTATGGCTTAGCATGGGCAAATAGTCTGTCTTCTTATTGCCTGAAGTGAGTCCTGTCTCCTCCTTATCTCCTATGTGTTTGTGAAGTTTCTGACAGGGCAGGGGAAGAAGTGAGGAATGGCGTAATCTAGGAAAAACTACTCCCGTGTAAGTACTTCAGGCAGGAATTCTGCCTCAGCCTCTTCTATGTCTAAAAGTGATTAGAGTATTATGCTAGATGCCATCCCTTACAATTAAAGTTGTTCCAAATGTTTATAAACTTCTTTTTTACCTTAAGGGTATGTTAGGTGAGGATGAGATTAATAATAACCCTTGGTTACTGCGAGCTGATCAGGCCTGCCATCTCCCACATGAGTGGACTATGAAAGCTTACAGAAATGCAACAAGTGGTATGATTTTAGAGCTCCAAGAGGATCAAAAGTCCTCTCACAGAATTTGAGATGCTCTGGGTTCTGACCAAGAACTTCCCTGGGTGGCCCATATTTACTTGGTTTTTGAACAAAGGAGGAAGATACTGAAGAAAATGTGGGAATCTAGCAGGATCTTGGGAAATATTTTCCAAAGTAGTAAATTATGTCAATCAGAAGAGCCACCTTATCTTTAGGTTGACATTGATCATAGGAGTACGGAGCCTGCAGCTTCAGTCTTGTTTTTGTTCATTAGGGTTGGAGCCAGGCATCCTCAGCGGTGGCCTTATCTTGTCCTATGAAGTGTCATAGCTTCACAGGCCAATACAGGCCTTGGTGGGGACCTGTGACTCATAGAGGTTCCCTTTTTATGTGTGGGTCTGCTGCCCATCTCCAGACAAGAGCCCAGAACTCGGGCAAACTCATAAACAAGAAAAGAAAATTGGTTAACAATAAATCCTGCTCAGAGCCGCTTTGCAGTGGTCTCCATCAGATGAATAGGAAAAAGTTCCTCTGGGTCTACTAACAAAGGCCCATTGTGACCTTACTGGGAAAGTAGCCATGGAATTCTGAAGGAAGTTAGAACTTCAGAGTGGATTGAGGACGCTGTTAGAGGTAAGATGTTAGAGAAACATGAGAGTTTTTATTTTTCTCAGTGGTTCATGCCAAGGGGGAAGAAACAGAAAGTGGTGGTTGAAGAGAGGTGAGGCAAGAGGTGTCTGTGGTTGAGAAAAAAATTAAACGTATTTAAATGCTGAATGAAGGGTTTAGTAGAAAAAGAGTTGAAGGTACAAGGACTGTACTGGGGTATTAGAGGCCTAATTAATAAGGAAGAAAAGAGTGAGCCTCTGATTGGAAGATAAATATTTTTCAATGTAATTACAGGAAATTTTACAACAATGGAAGCTTGCAGATTTGGCACCTAGACCCCTCCAATTTCAATCTAGTAGTTAATCATTTCCCTATGAATTATCAGGCCAGTTTTAGGGAAACTTGAGTAGACAGGAGCAAAAAAGAAATGAGGATATTTGAAATAATCTTTAGGGAAAACTAGAAGAGCTCACATGCTGGCCCATAGAAAGGAAGTGTCATTTCCCAGTTGATTTTGAATATTTTTTTAAAATTTATTTATTTATTTTTACATTGTGTGTGTGTGTGTGTGTGTGTGTGTGTGTGTGTGGCCAGCTCAGCCCACCAGGGGGTGGGGCGGGCTGGCATGTGGTGCTGGGGGATTGAACCGCGGTCCCTGTGCTTTGCTAAGCTTGTTTCAAGTAGGTGCTTTAGACCACTGAGCCATCTCTCCAGCCCTTGAATATTTTATAGTGGTAGGAAAATGTCATGTTGTGTGCTTCCTCCCTCCCCCAGCAATTGCAAAACAAAACAAAACAAAACAAAACAAAACAAAACAAAACAAACTTTGAAATGACTGAAAAATAGCAATTTCCCAGGTTTGAAGTTTTACAAAGCAGGTAAGATGAGTGGTAAGGAATTTTGTATTATCCGAGGGAATTATTGAGACCACAGAGTACACAGTCCAAGAATCACAGGAATAAGGGAGAAGGAGCTTAGATAGTGGGTAGTGAAATATGTACACATGGGATATGAATGCTTTGATCAAAATGTATTGTAATAAAAGCTACAGTGTCACCTATATATCTCAAAATATTTCCCCTACTTCAAAGACTCGTGTCCCATAATTCTTGCCATCTTCTGAAGCAGTTCTGACAATGTTGGAAAAGACAGTGATGAAAGATTTCCTGAACTCTGTCAGAATGCAGCAAGGATAATGGATAAACGTGTTGGGAGTGGGAAAAGTGTAAGGGTGACTCGTGGCCATGGGTCTTCTGTTATAGTGAATTGTTTTTGTTGTTAAACATGCCTCATTTTTGATCACATATTGCATATATATATTTAATGATGCCTTTTATACCAAATATTTGTGGTTTTACTGTGGCATTTTGTTTTCTTTTTCTTTCTTTGTGCTACTGGGGACCGCCTTCTTACTGAGCTATATCTCTAGCCTTTTTTAAAAAACGTTTTATTTTGAGACAGGCTTTCACTAATTGGCTAAGTTGCCCAGGCTGGACTCAAGTTGTCTTCTTGCCTCAGTCCGTTAGAGTGCAGGGACTACAGGATGCATCACCATTTCTGGTCCATGTTTCGTGCATATGTGTAGCACACTTCGATCCTATCTAAGCTCTGGTTATTATCCCTTTGTCTCCCATCCTCCCCTCCCCAAACCCCCTTATCTTGTCTAGTAGTCTCCTTGGCAAAGGTTCTTGATGAAGTGATTCATTACTTGAATAATTCATTACTTGAATAACTTGTTTCTTCCTCCTTGAATATTTTGTCCAAGGCATAGGCATTGTCTACACTGCTAATAAGGTGGAAGCAGAAGACAATTCAAGGCAGAAAATCATGTTCACAACCTTAAGCTTTGTGCAAAGGAGCAAAACAACTGGCTGATGGATTTCAGGGTTGGCTCTCTGGTTGATGGGTTTTGTGTGGCTGAGGCATGGTGTAGGATACCTGTCGTTAACTTGAACTCACAACACCAAATAGAGAAAGCATGACCTAAGTAAGGATTATAGCCAGCACCCAGAGGAAGGCTGTCATTTCACTAAAAATTCCCTTAACTGTTCTTGTCTCTTGTTTTGTTTCTAGATGTGTGTTTCAATGACTTCAATATTAACTGTCTTTAATATTTAAGAGTCAATGATGTGTTTGGGAAGAGTAAGACAGAATGTATGTAGCCTTTCTTATTAAGAGATTTCCTGTTATACTTTTAAAAAGTTTGTTAACATCTACGCCTTCTTCCCTTCCTTAGTAGGAATGAGTTCCAGTTTTCTGGCATGGCATGGTGCTTATGATTTACAATAACTTATTAAATGTTTTATAAGAAAAATTTAGCATGGTGCTTGGTGACACATGCCAGGAATCCCAGTGCTTGGGGAGCTGAGACAGGAGGACCGTGAGTCTGAGGCCATCCAGGACTACAGAGAAACCCTGACTCAATTCCCATCCCAGTAAAAATTCTAGAAGAGAGGAATGTGAAGAGTCTTAACACAAAGGAGCTATAAATGTTGAGGGATGTGATGATTCTGATTACCCTGATTAAGTCATTGCTAGATATATATTATGTACCAAATTTCATGGTGTACTGCATAAATGCTATATGTGCAATTAACCTATGTTAATTTAGAAGAAGCAGAAAGAGTAAAATGAAGATACATAGTTTGGAGTTACTCTTGTCTTTAAGAAAAGGTACCTATTTTACGGATGCTTGCATGAACAAGCCAGGAATAAGAACCTTATATAGTTGGTGATTATGTCTTCTAAATTATTTATTTTTGAACATGACCATTGAGTTGATTAACTGTCAGGGGGCTGGGGGTGAGTCTCTAAGAGTGGGTAGTTGATAATTTCCCTTTTGGCTTATGTGCTAAAGGAGCTATAAAAACCAAAAGGACCACAGTTTGATTGAATAGTCAGATAACGGAAGAAAGTCAGAGTTGGGAATTAGAAGACAGGAAGCCACGTATCATGAGAGACAGGGCCAGGTTTCACATAGTTGGGATTGATAGGGACAAAGGGGAAAATAAAAGCATGAAAGGAGAGTGCGTCGCAAGATGGTAGAGGGATGTTTGGGCTTTGAGTTGTCTGAGCTTAACTCAGATTTGCTTTTGGATGTCCCAAGATGCTGGTCAGGCTTTGTTGGAAATGTAGATCCAACCCCAGCGTTTCTGTTTGATAGGGTAAGAGGTATGATGGCCAAGACTTCGCAGAGGAAGCAACGGGCCTGCGTCAACCCTTCGAAGCCCAAGTCTGCTTCAAGCATCTCAATCCCCTTGCGAATGTCCAGCTACACTTTCAAGAGGCCAGTTACGAGAGTTACGTCTCACCCAAACAATGAGGTCAGATACCATCGATGGGAGGCCAACCTAGAGAAGCCCCAACAGGTCTGCTTGCATAAGAGGCTGCAAGGCCTCCAGGCCTCCAGCAGCATAGGAGAGCTTTTAAGTACCTTTGGCCTGGCCAGAACTCTGCACACACTTGCGCCTTGTTGCGCAGGCGCGTCTCTGCTGGATACTCCGGCTGGGGGTGTGCGCTCCAGCTCTCTGCCCAGCCATACCTCATCTTCTCACCGGGTGGAGAAGGTTCCAGGAACGGGTTTGGGTATTCCCCAGCTCCTCTGCAAACAATTTCTGGTCACAGAGGAAGATATTAAGAAACAGGAGAGAAAAGTGGAGACAGCAAGAGAAAGATTGGCAACAGCACTGCTTGCAGACAGACTGGCTGGAGAAGCAGAGAGAGGCAAGAAATCACCAAAGGCGTCATGATAAACACTATGAAAAAGAAGATATTGAAGAAGAAATGGGACATGATCTTATTTTAGCCTCACTTTGCACTGATCATAGCTTTGATTTCTTGAAACCTTAACACACATTAATACTTCTCTTTATTAAACTACTTGCCCCAACACGAGAATATGTCTATTTTTATTTTTAGACAGGACTTCACTATGTAGTTTAGAATGGCTTTGAACTCATTATGTACTAAGGTTGATCCTTCTGCCTCAGCCTCCCAAATGCTGGGATTATGGCCTTGTGCCACCACCCACCACACCTGGACAACATTTCTGTTTTCAGATTTATTTATTTATATTTTAGTAAGGGTCTCCTAGTGATCTGCCTGTGTTCAGCTTCCCAAGCACTGGGATTACAGGCATGCACCACCAGGCCCAGTTTCAGTTGTCGTCTCAGTGCGCCCCAGGGGCGGGACCAGCACAGCACGCCTGAGATTGAACCCTGCCGCTGCGCTCTGCTTAAGCAGGCTCTTTAATCCTCTGAGCTAAACATTTCTTTTCAAAATGGGAAATTTGGGTTCAGGTGAGGAGAAAAAGATTTTCCTTTTTTGGTACGCTCCCATTGTCACTTGCCTTTATGTGATTTATTTGCATTATTATTATTTTTTTAATTATGTAGGGCTAGAGATGTGCATAGTGGAAGACTGCTTAACTGGCAGGTGCAAAGTTGTGGGTTCAATTCCTGGGAAAACATACACACACTCACAAACACACACACACCTACCTCTTATTGTATATATTTCATGTATATTGCATTAACTTTTAATGTATATTGAAATAATTATCTCTGTCAAGCATATCAACATAGCCCTCAATTCACAGTTATAATTTTGTGTGCAGTAAGAGCACCTAATGTGTACTCTCAGCAGATTTCCACTGTGCAGTGCAGTATGATTGGCTAAAGCCTCATGCCCCACATTACATGTCCAGAGTGATTCAGTTTATGTCACTGCAAATTTGTACCCCTTAATCTGCTTCTCCCTGCTCCCCCTTCCCCAGGTAATGGCCATTTTTTTTTTCAGTTTGATGTTTTAGACATTCCATTCATTATTCATTTCTTCCTTATTGCTTATTAGCTAACAGTTCCTTATAGTGAAATGCTAACATTTCTATAATTTTCTTGATCAATAAGTGTTTGAAATCTGGGCCAGCCAAATAGGTCAGTGGATTAAAGCACTTGCAAGGGAGTTCGATCCCCGGGCCTGCCATGCCGGCCCCGCCCCCAGTGGTGATTGAGCCTGGGCGTGGTGGTGTGCACCTGTAATCCCAGCTCTTGGGAGGCTGCAAAGAGTGGACCACTACGAGTTTGATCTAGCAGTGAGATCTTGAACATCTTGTAGACCCTTCCTTAAATTACAGAAAGAGAAAAAAAAAGCAAAAGGAAATTTGCTTCATGGAAAGTAATTTGAAATTTGGGGGATAATGGCTATGCATGTTTTTTTAGCATTATTAACCTAATGTTAGGACATCATTTGTTGGAATTCAAGAATTTAAATGTTTACCTATTTGCCTGATCCCTGTATTTGCTATAAAACTTAAGTCCTCTTTGTAATTGCTCACTTTTGCTTCCTGGATTTGTCAGGTTCTGAAGGCAATTGTTAAAAAAAAAAAATAGAACAGCCATACTATTTCTATCTTCCCTAAAATGAATGATCTTAAATTTTTTTTGATCTTAAAATTTGACCTATTCTTTCTGCTTGTATGTGGTAATCATCTGGAATTTTATTGAAACTGATTTCAGCAGATGCACCTCGAGATCATAGTATTCAGTGAGGTAAGCCAGATACACAAGTTTAAATGCTGCATGACTTCTCTTAGATGAAGAACCCACAGGATAAATAGTGAAATAAAGGACAGGTAAGTAGGGTGATCTTTCTCAAGTGGGAAGGGGAACGAGAGATGCAGGAAGGTGGGAGGGAGGGACGGGGAAAGGGATTTTTTTCATTTTTTATATTTATTTTTTTAATTGAGAACTAAATATGAATGAGACAGTTTCACAGCTGATTAATAGGACAGTTTTGATAGTGAATACACTGTACATTGTTATCTTCTTAGTGGTTATCCACAGTACAAGAAGCAGACAGGATATTCTGTCCAAACACTGTTGGAAAGGGATTTTTTTAAAAAAAAGAAAATTGAAGATAAAATGCAATTGGAGATTTGCAAATGGGAAGGCCAAAAAAAAAAAAAAAAAAAGACAGAAAGAACTGCAGCTAGCAGGGAGGATTGGGACAGGAGGGGGCAAAAATAACTAAGGGGAGTTATGTCTATGTGCAGAATTTCAATAAATGTCGCCACTGTATGCTGCAAACACATATAGCACTAATAGGAAATTTTAAAAAAGCATTTTAATGACTTGTGAAACTAATATTTAGATAGATGACTTTTTTCTTTATCACTCAGGTTTTCTCACATAACATGCTTTTGGGGGTTGCAGCTCTTCCTGCTGATGTGCATGCTTTGCAGGCTCTTTCACTGAAGGCCTGCAGGAGGTCGACTTTGAGCTGTTCCCTATATCTGGAAATACCTTTGACTCATTTGATGGTTTAGAATAGGAGTTCATAATTAGGTTCTAAGTCATTCTTTTCCTTCCTTGTCCAATCATCTCCTGTTTCCTTTTTTAAACATTGTCCTTGGTACAGGGTCTCACTATGCAGCTCAGGCCGTAGTGATCCTCCTGTTTTCAGCCTCCCTGCCTCGGGGATTACAGGCGTGTGCCACTACAGCTGGTCTTGGTGGCCGGCTCAGTGCACCAGCAGGTGGGGCCAGCGCAGTGTGTGGTACTGGGAATTGAACCCCCATCCCCGCGCTTGCTTACGTCTCCCATTTTTTTTTAGTCTTATTAGTATCTATTTGTAGTACATAATGTTTACGTTCCTTGTGGGGTGTTGGCAATGCGCATGACACATCTTCATATCTTCATTCTTTTCTCTCCTCCTCCTCCTCCACCTCCTCCTCCTTCCATCTCTCTCCATCTCTTGATCCCATTCCCATTTGAGAATGATCTGTCTCCCTACTTCTTGTTATCTGTTGTTTACTTTTCTCTTTATTTATATTTTAAATAGCCTATCAAGTAAACTGTGCAGTATTTATGCCTGTATGTCTAATTTACTTCGCTAAACATTATGGTCTCAAGGTGTAACCATTTTCCTACAAATGACCAAGTGTATCCGTATTCCAGGTCTTCCCCTCCTACTTCCCCCTTTTCAGTATCTTTCCGAAAGACTTGAGGACATAATATTGTGGTCATCCCTGCACACCAGTGTTTATAGCAGCACAATTCACAGCAGCATCTTGGAATCAGCCGTATGTGTCCATCTGCCGGTGAGCAGAGGGAGAAAGCGCATTTGCACACAGTGGAGCATGATTCGGCCAGTCATATGCCATTTCTGAGCTTCTGTTCCTTTAGTTAGGAAGTGGAAAGGAAACCCTCAAGGACGGTCTTAATCCATTTCGTTTTGCTGTAACAGAATTCTGCAGACCACACAATTTGTAAAGAACAAAAATTTATTCTGTCACAGTTTTGGAAATAGGCAATCCCAAGATTAAGGTCTCTCTCTCTCTCTCTCTCTCTCTCTCTCTCTCTCTCTCTCTCTCATTTGCTACAGGGTCTCACTACACAGATTGGACTCATATTGATTCGCCTATTTTCAGTCTCCCAAGTGCTGGGATTACAGGTGCACACCCCCATGCCCAGTCTCAATCACCCTCTCAGCACACCCTGGGGGTGGGTCCAGAACAGTACCCTGGGAATCGAACCCCAGCCACTGCACTCTGCCTCAGCGGGCGCATTAGTCCTCTGAGCTCTCTGGCCAGCCTTCTTACTTCTCTCTTAATCCTCCAATTGTAGAAGATAGAAAAGCAGAAGAGGAAAAATGCCAAGTCCTGGTCAGGAAGAGAAGAAAGAGAATCTGTGCCTACAGGGCCCTTTTAACAGCAGCATTAGTGCATTCTTTTGGTCAGAGGCTTTGTTACCTAAACACTTCACATTAGACACCCTCACCTCTCACTCTTGTTGTTTTGGAGATTAAGTCTCCAACATAAATTTTGGAGGGCAGGTGTTGAAACCGCTGCAAACAGGGTAGAACAGAGTTAGTGCTTGCAGAGCTTGCAAGCCATAGTGCTTACAAGATCTTAAGTACAGCCCTGTGTCATGTAACATCACTTCCATCACACACCACATACACAGTCCCAGTCCCATAGGATTACATAATCCATCTCTTTGAATGTACTCTTGTGGTTAATCAATTCATCACTGTCATTAATAAATAAGAGTTCCTGCTGCCTTTACTACCCTCTCCAGTGGGCATTCTCAGAGACAGACTGCTTACGGTGGCAGTGTAAGGCACACATGCTTCCATCTGGCAATCTGAACAACTGATTTGAAGACAACAATGTGCAATGTAATAACCAGTGGTGAATTCCTATCGTGTTCAGTGAAATTTGGTATCATTTCCAATGTTTTTATTCTCTTAAAAAACTATAATGCCATTGCAAAAATAGAAAGTGAATGGAAGGCATGACTCCAATTTTAACTCTTAGTCTTGGATAACAACTGAGTACCCTCACTCATGGCGGTCTGCCAGATGTATACATCATGCCACCAAGTCCAACAAGCACAAAGCAGGACGGCACAGGTGGCCTTGCACCTGGGATGCGTGCCTGTAATTGGCCACCTGGAGTCAGTGCAGGGAAAGATGTAAAAAAGACAGCCCCGTGTTTCCCTTAGGTGATCCAGTTCAAGTTGTACTCATCTTAACTCCAGAACAGACACGTTTAGGCAAGGTTATCTTGGACTCAAACTTTCTGCTTATTTGGTCACTTCAGCTCTCAAGTTCCAAGGCTGGTTGTGGAGTCTCTTCTGAGCCACTCATTTCTTTCTTGGACTATTTCACATCTTTCAGGCATCACTTGGTGGGTAAGGAGCGGATTCAACCAACAGTCTTGGTAGAGGCGAGCTCAGGGAACGAAATAGGGTAAGAGCAGGCTTGAGACAGCCAGTGCTGGGGAGACGCATCCGTGTGATGGCTGCAGTGGAGTCAAGGGCAGGTCAGTAGGGGGTGACTGGGGGGAACCCTCACATTGACACGGGATATTGATTCTGTATAATGACAACTTGCAATTCTGCTGTCCCTGAGGGGTGGCATAGCATGAAACCCAAGACACAACTACCAGTCGCCTCAGGATTTATCAAAGGAGGAAGTTCTCTCACTTTGTCCCCCGGGACCCAGGCTGGGACAGAGTCGAGCAAGGCCCACATGCTGTGTCTAACCAATGTGGTTTATTTCTTCTTCAGACCCAGGATGGGACAAAGGATCTCCCCAGCAGACGGGGTCACTGCAGCTTCCTCAGGTCCAAGTGTGGGAAGTAATAGCCCAGGCGGTGGCGCTGGACCTGGTAGTCTCCCTCCTTCTTCCGCCGGCAGATGGTCACCTGGAATGGTAAAGAGAAGGTGTCAGAATGCATTGGTCAGCTGCCCAGGGAGCGGACGCCAGAGGGCAAGCGTGAGGACAGGCCAAGGCCTGTAGCATCCCAGATCCCTCTTCTTTCTCCTTTTGCTTGGTTCTGCCTCCCTTCTCCTTCTCACTCTCGGTTTTAGAAACCATCCTCTAAGATCCCTTTTATTTCTCTCCTCCCTACAGTTTATGAATACCCATGTTTCTATTAATCACCTATCACACATCTTTACCAATGGCTAGAATATATAAAGAACTCAGAACAAGTAGATGCGCCCTGCAGGGATCACCTATCGACAAAGTTTCATTTGTCGATATCATTTGTCATGTACATATCCATCCATCAGTGAGCTGTCAATTGATTATTATCTACATATCCATTATTTATATATCATCTTCCTATTATCTATTATCTATCTGCTATCTCTTTATCTATTAAGCAATTATTTATATTATCATCATCTCTAGCTAGTGACCATCTTTTCATTGTTAGTTTTTATTGGGTTGGTTTGTTTGTCTGTGTGAGACAGGATTTCACTGTGTAGTTCTGGCTGCACTTCAACTCACTGTGTTGCTGAGGCTGTCCTCGAACTCATGGCAGACTTCCTGCCTCAGCCTCCAAGTGCTGAGATTACAGGTGCTTGCCACCATGCCTGGCTGTTCTTTACCATCTGTTCTGTCAATCATTTTCTCTCTCCCTCCTTACCTTCCACCTTCTCCACACTACCCCAGTTTAACCAAGTCATCACTGTTCTGTAATAAATTGCATATTTTTAACATGAGTGAACTGATAAGTTTTGATTACAACTTACTGACCATCACTACTAAAAGGTAAGGAACACCCAGCAAAGATTCCTAAAAGTTTACTTCCACTTTTAAAAAATATATTTAGTACAGGGTCTACAGGGTCTCAGTATGGAGATCGGACTCAGTGATTCTCCTGTTTTCAGCTTCCCAAGTGCTGAGATTACAGGTGCCTGCCACCATGCCCAGTCTCAATCACCATCTCAGTGCGTCCCGGGGGCGGGGCCAGTACAGCATGCCATGGGTTGGTTTGTTTGTCTGTGTGAGAACCCCAGTCCCTGTGCCTGCCTAAACAGGCACTTTTAGTCCAGTGAGCTACCTGGCTGGCTCTTACTTTTGCTCCTTTATAACCCTTCCCCATCGGTCTTGCACACATTTTCATTCCCAGGATACTGCTGATCTGTTTTATATCATTAACAAATTAGTTTATGTTTTCTACAAATGGAATTTGTAGAATTTGAAACCTTTTCTTTGGTCTGGTCTCTTTCACTCAGAGTAATCATTTTGCAACTTATGCATCACGCATGTGTTCGTGCTTTGCTTATTCATTCCTGGGTAGCATATTCCAGTGTTAGGATATATTTGTTGATGAATCCTGGGACTGTTCTCAGTTTGGGGTGCTTTAAACAAATCTGTGTACAAGTCTTTTTGTGCATATATGCTTTTGTTTCTCATAGATAAATTACGGGAAGTGGAATGTTGGGTCCCCTAGCAAGTGGCCATAGCTCTCAAGGAAACGACCAAGCTATATTTTTCCAGCTCTTCACAAGACTTCCAATTATTCTATGTTTTTACCAAAACTTGTTAGAATCAGCATTTTATTTTATATTTTGGTACTGGGACTCGAACTCAGGACTTTGCACTTGCCAGTCAGGCTTGGGCCACTGAGCTATATTCCCAGCCCACTATCAGCATTTTAGTTGCTGACCATTCAGCTCAGTGATGTCTCCCTGTGACTTCCACGTACACCTCTCTAAGGACTAACGTCGTTAAGGCTTTGAGACTACTGAACAACAAGGTGGCTATCATTAGTAATGATGTGATGTCTATTACAAAAACACTGAGGCTAGATTTCAAGTATTCCTACTACAAAAACTATGATGGATTTGGTAATTAACCTGATTTATTTGTGCATGTGTATATCAGAGCATCATGGTGTAGCCCATGCACATATACATTTATTATTTATTAATTAAAAATAAAATGGAAAAAAATAAGGCCAGGCACAGACTATCTGAGCTTCCTTTTTTTTTTTTTTTTTTTTTGTGGAACCAGGGATTGAACTTAGGCCTTTGTGCTTGCCAGGGAAGCGCTTATTCTACTGAGCTATCTTCCTGGCCCCAGGCACAGACTATCTGAGAAAAAGATTTTTGCAAAACATACTGAGCAAAGAACTTGTATTTACAGTGTACAGACATGCATTGGTCATAGACGGGGCTAAGTCTGAGAAGTTCATAGTTGTGGTGATTGTGTCATTGTCCAAATGTCACAGGGCAGACTTACAGAAACTAGGATAGCTACAATGTCACTAGGCAGCGGTCTTATGGGACCCAAGACCATAGACTGTATTACCTACAACCTTGGCCAAAATATTGTTATATGGCGTGTGACTGTATTAAGGATTCCTACTGCCCAAGGGTAAGAAGATGAACAACAAGCTCACCAGGTAACAGCAGAGCAGGCATGTGATGAGAGCCAGGAGTCCTGCCAGGCAGATGAGGATGATGGCCCAGAAGGGCAGATCTGGGGAGAGACACCCTGGGGTGAGCCACATCCTGCCACATTCCAGGGCTCTTTCTTGGCCCCTGTGTGGCCTAAGGATGAGCCTGACCTTGGAGAGGGGAGCTTGGCAGCTCAGCACCTCATGGCTCTGAAACACTCCCCCTGATGTAGGCTGCTAGAGGCCTACTTCCCCACACAGTCTCCACAGTCTTTGCCAGGGCTGGCTGGCTTTCACTGCGGTCCAGAACCCTCAGTCTGGTGCTGTTTGAGGACACACAGCATTGGGTTGTTCCTGCCCTGCCCTTGATAGGGGCTTATGTGAGGCTTACTGTAGTTTCCAGTCACAGCATCGTTTTTGATGGGAGAATATCCTGAAAAGGAATGAAATGGAAAAGGCATGTGAGTATGCTTTGCTATTTTTTTCCTCTTGGGTGGTCCTGAGCATTGAGTTCAGGGTCCTGAGCATTGAGTCCAGGGTCTTGAGCCTGCCAGGCATGTACTTTGAGCTCATCAGCTTTAACCCCACACATTTAATAAAATATTCCAAGAAAAGAGGAGAGAGTAGTAAAATCAACACTCATCACTTGGATTTAACTGTTCATGTTTCATCCAATTTAAATAATATTTTATCTGATTTGTGAGTGAGTGACATTTCCTTCATTTGTTCTATCCAATATTTCCAATTGAAAATTTAAAATCAAGTATGTATCATATTTTTTCCCTGAATTGTTTCCATCTCAAGAAAAAGTACATTTTGCTACATAATCATGGGATCAATACAAGAATATAGTAAATGAAACCCATATCTCTGGGCATGAGTTACTAAATTGGACTGGACTGTGTCATAGCAGTCGTGTAGTATATGGGTAATAAGAGTTGGGAAACCATAAGTTTTCACAGTGCTATATGGCCTGGGCATGGCTTGAGTGCCTCGCTCCTCAGGGTCATGAGGTGGCGGCTCAGTCTCCAATGTAGTGATGCTGGGTGGTGGTAGGACAAAGTGGAGGAGATTAGATCTTTGGAGGAGCCACCTTCAGAAGGCATTAATGTGGTTCCTGTGGGACCCTGGTTGGCTCCCATGAGAGTGGGTTTCTACAAAAAAGAGGGCAGGTCTGGATCCTGTATCGGGCGGGTTTTCTGTCTCACCATGTGATTTTTTCCATATGTGCTCCTGCCATGATGGTGCCATCCATCCTAAGGCCTCGTCAGAGACTAAACAAACGAGGCTGCCTGACTTTCTACCATCAGCCTCCGACACCTGAGCAATAGAAACCTTATTTCCTTAAAAAGTATCTAGACTTGGTTATTTTGTTATAGTAACAGAAAATAGACTAGCGCCCCCATTATGGAAAATTCCTATCACTGTAGAAAGTCCCAGAAGTTAAAGTCGGATTTGGAACATCTTTGGAAAGTTCTATTGGTAGTGCTGATTCAGAGTAAGGTTGGCAAGATGCAGGCTAATGGCTGATAGTCTTTGAACTGAAAGCTGTTTTCACATTGTAAAAGAATTTATAACAGAAAAGAGGTCATATAGATCTCATAAAGCCTAACATATTTCTTTATTATCTAGCCATTTTAGTAAAAGTTTGCTGATTTCTGTCATAGAAAATCAACAGTGCTCTCTTGTAGGACTATGTTTCAGAACCATGGACAGCAATACACACAGGAATGGCTCTTTCTGGGTTACGCCCACTGGACCTAGAAGCAACCTCACATGAGGTTTAGCTATTCCTTTTATAAATGTTGAGTATTATGTGCCTGGAAGAATTCAAGGCTCTTGGCACATCAGAGGGACCAAGGACACAAAGCCACTTGTCTGGTGATATTCCTGGTGCACAATGCAATGTGTATGACCATGTTTAAAGTAGTACATTTGGATATGCATGGGTCAGCTGTCTTGGAGGCACCTCTGATGTTAGAAAACATGTCCTTCCTGTTATGTTCACTGAGATTGGCTCATACATTCCTCGGAGCTGGAGGCCTTCCTTGACTGTTTCACCAAATAAGCGGCTGGCAGTAAGACATAAGAAAAAAAAATCCAGGGAGGAGAAGGAACTAGTCTGAGGTCACAGAGCTTGCCAGCAGAGGACTAGAGCCTCCTGTGTCACACAGGGTGTCTTTTGTTTTATCCCTTGATGGTGAGTAAAGCCCGGAGGAGCCTGGCTACCTAGTGTACATCTGAGGAGGTTCAACGCTGTCTCAGTGCCATGCCTGGGGATGCCTTGGGGCTTCTAAGCAAGGCATGTGGAGCCCAGGAAATCTCACCATCCACAAGGACACTGTCCTTGTCTAGAGTGAAGTTCTGCAGGTGGGTGCCACCCTGGGTCAATCGCAGGAATTCCTCATAGATGGCAACTTTGTCCAGCCTCCGCGCCAAGGGGGAGAAGTTGCACATGGAGTCAACTCCGGTGTGATCCATGTGGGAGACAGACCTGTGTGGACACAAAGGAAGAACAAAGTCAGCTGACGTTCCACACCGAGTCCAGGCTGCCTGCTGCCAGGCTCCGTCCAGGGGAATGTCATGCAGTGATGAAAATAAACACTCTGTCTGTAAGAAGCTCATCATATGTCTGCAGTACCGTGCCTATTGGCCCTGTGTGGGATTGAGCACTTACAATGAGACTGGGATGAGTAAGGAATGGAGTGACTGATTTAATTTGCTTTTAATCCACATTAACACAGCTGTAGAAAGAGCATTTGTGGAATGTTGGAGAATGGACTAATGGAAGCTCCATAAAACCAGTAAGAACACGGGCCAAATGGTCAAACTCAACTGTTTTTTAGAAGCACAGAAATTAATCACTGGCTTGCAAAGCTCTAAGAAAGGTTTAGTGGAGAACAGTAGTTGAATCTTGGTAGAGAGAACAAATGTTGTTGCATTTGACCTGGCACCATCCCTATGCTGCCCCCCTGAGGTGCTCAGTCATTATGGAGACCAGCAACTGCAGAACCTTAGCAGCTGTGAAAGTCAGCAGCGCGGTGAGAGGTCACTCCACATCTGCCAGGATGATTCTCTGAAAAGAGGACAACGGTTGCTCAGTGAGTGGGGGATGGGAAAGGAGGGCTGAGAGATTGCTCCTGGGGGTATGAGGTTCACAGCCTCCACAGAAAGCAGCTTGGCAGCTCCTCAAGAACTAAGCTGGGTGTGGTGGTTCATGTCTCTCATCCCAGCACTCAGGAGGCTGAGGCAAGAGGATCATTGTGAGTTTGAGACCTGCCTGGGCTACAGATGTTCTCAGTAGGCAAATCCAGATAGAAAGATAGCTACAAAGTGAGCTCAAGGCCAGCCTGAACTGCATACCTGAACTGCATACAAGACCCTGCCTCTGAAAGACAAAAACAAAAATGAAAACAAAAACCACAAAAACCCCCAAAAACAAAAACCCAAAAAATTAGGGATGGCAAGATAGCTCAGTAGACTCAGCTCAGTTCAATTTCCAACCCTGCAGGCCTTGTGGGCCCTATCCCCGGGGTGCGCTGAGTCTGCGATAAAGTATGGGTGTTGTGGTGTATGCCTGTAATCCTAGTGCTGGAGAGGCTGAAAACAGGAGGATCACTGAGTCTGAGCTGTGCAGTGAAACCTTGTACCAAATACATAAATAAAAAAAATTAAATGCAGAGTTATTATATGAATCTGCAATGTCATATATCATAATGTGCTCCAAATAACTGAAAGTATAAGTTGGCTCAAAAACCCATGATCACAGCAGCACTGTTGATCTCAGCCAAATAGAGATGATCCAAATGTCGATCAGCAGCCAGGGAGATGGCTCAGTGGAATAAGCGCCTCCCTGGCAAGTGCAAGGGCCCGAGTTCGATCTCCGATTCTGCAAATGTTGATCAGCAGATTAATAATAAATGTGTTACATAATAAAACATTGTTTGCCTTGAAAAGAAACAAAGTCTCAATACATGAATGAACCTTGAAAACAATATGCTCGGGGCTGGAGAGATGGTTCAGTGGTCTAAAGCACCTACTTAGAACAAGCTTAGCAAAGCATCAGGGACCGCGGTTCAATCCCCCAGCACCACATGCCACCCAGCCCTGCCCCCTGGTGGGCTGAGCTGGCCACACATACATACACACCTCTCTCTCTCTCTCTCTCTCTCTCTCTCTCTCTCAAATAAATAAAAATTTAAAAAAAAAAAGAAAACAATATGCTCAAAGAAAGAAGCCAGATAGACAGAATTATATGATCCCATTTATCTAAAATGTTCCGAGTAGGCAAACCCAGACAGACAGAAAGTAGATTAAGAGTTGATAAGGCCTGAGTGAAGAGGCCAACTGCTGACAGCTACTGGGTTTCTTTGGTAGATGGTGAAGATTAGCCAGTGAGGATAGTAGTACTACTCTCTATCACTAAGTTAGACAGATCAAAGAATATAATGCACGGTGTGTGGACTACCCTCCAAATCTTTACAAAAATCCATTTTGCCTCACGTGGCTCATGGTTACCCTATAGGACAGCACAGGTAGGCCGTGGACTCTGAGCCTGCTATCGGGCTCTAGACTGCTATCTTCCATGGTCCTGCCTCTAGTAGCTGACTTTTTCCTACTACAGTCTGTACATCTTGTCTTGATCTTTGTGCTTCAAACGGAAGATCTTAGCCTGGCTCCCACACAGAACCGCTTGGGAAGATTTCTATGAAGTATCTTTGCTTAGGCTTGATCCCCAAATAGATTAAATAAGAATAGTTGATGTGACCTTGGTAAGCACGTTTTCAAAAGCTCTTTGAGGGAGGGTAATGTTCAGCAATAGTTGAGGACCATTACTCATCCAGAGTGCTGTGAACTGACGCTACATAAACATGTTTTTTTCTAGCCTCCAAGTTTCCAGTGTTCTTGGACCATTTAGTTGATTAAACTTTTAAAGACTCCAGATTATTTTTCTCCACTTTTATACAACCTGAAATTTAGCAAACAGGGCAGATAATTAAAAACCACAGAAGAGACAAGGGCTTGACAGAAAGATCCATTTAACCATGAATCTAGAAATTTGGAAATCTAGTTTCAGGGGAAAGGGAGTCAGCAGCTAGTGAAAAAATAATCACTTGGGATTTGGACCACCTGTGGGCTGCTGCATTGCTTGTCTTGGGAGATGGTGCCATTTTGAAGGTATTTTATTTTACCTGATGAAGGGGCAATACTGTTGGACATATGAGGTGTAATGTAAAAATATAGGTCCCATATTGAACTCGAGTTGGAAGAGGCAAGTCCAGTCTCAAAATGGAGGTAAAACCACTGCCCGGTTGTCCGCAGCCCAACTCCAGCCATCGCCATCACTGCTGGGGGAGGAGGGCCATGACCCAAAGGAACCAGAGAAGTTGAGGAAGCTGTTTATTGGTGATCTGAGTTTTGAAACTACCGATGATAGTTTAAGAGAACACTTTGAGAAATGGAGCACACTCATAGATTGTGTGGTAATGAGAGAGCCTCAAACAAAACGCTCCTGAGGCTTTGGCTTTGTGACTTACTCTCATGTTGAAGAGGTGGATGCAGCAGTGTGTGCTTGACCACACAAAGTTGGTGGGCGTGTAGTAGAACCAAAGAGAGCTGTTTCTAGAAAGGATCAGTAAAGCCTGGTGCCCATCTAACAGTGAAGAAAATTTTTGTTGGTGGTATTAAAGAAGATACAGAACAATATAATTTGAGAGACTACTTTGAAAAATACGTCAAGATTGAAACCATAGCAGTCACGGAAGACAGGCAGAGACAGGCCCTTTCTAAACAAGAGATGCAGTCTGCTGGATCACAAAGAGGCCTTGGAGGGGGGATCTGGCAACTTTATGGGTCGTGGAGGAAACTTTGGAGGTGGTGGAGGGAATTTTGGCCGTGGTGGAAACTTTGGTGGAAGAGGAGGTTACGGTGGTGGAGGAGGTGGCAGCAGAGGTAGTTATGGAGGAGGTGATGGTGGAAATTATGGTGATGGTCCTGGTTATAGTACTAGAGGAGGGTATGGTGGTGGTGGACCAAGATATGGAAACCAAGGTGGTGGACACGGTGGTGCTGGAGGATGATATGATGGTTACCAGGAAGGAGGCAATTTTGGTGGTGGTAACTATGGTGATAACTATAGTGGTGGTGGGAACTATAATGATTTTGGAGATTATAGTAGACAACAGCAGTCAAATTATGGACCTGTGAAGGGGGGAAGTTTTGGTGGAAGAATCTCTGGCAGTTCCTATGGTGGTGGTTATGGATCTGGTGGTGGAAATGGTGGATATGGTAGCAGAAGGTTTTAAAAAAGAAAAGAAAAGGGCTACAGTTCTTAGCAGGAGAGAGAGCTAGGAATTGTCAGGAATGCTGTAGGTTACTTTGAGACAGTCATCCCAAAAGCATTAGAGGAAATACAAAAATCTGCCACAGAAGGAACGATGATCCATAGTCAGAAAAATTACTGCAGCTTAAACAGGAAACCCTTCTGGTTCAGGACTGTCATAGCCACAGTATGCAAAAAATGCAGCTATTGATTAATGAAATGTAGTGTCAATTAGATGTATATTCCTGAGGTCTTTTATCTGTTATAGCTTTGTCTTTTTCTTTCTTTTTATTATATCAGGTATATTGCCCTACAAATTGTGGTAGTGGTACCAGGAATAAAAAAACTACAGGATTTTTAACTTTTCAAAAACAAAAAATAAAAAATAAAATATGGTGAATATTTAAATTTTAAAAAATGTATTTCCAGTAAAGGACATGCTGTCGCTGATGGCCTTTAAAACACTCTCCCTTATTTATCCTGTCCTGTTTGCCACTTTCAGAAGCACTTCGGGAAGTTCTTTTCCATGAGTGTCTGTGGTTGCTCTGTCCTGGCTGCCTCTATATCCTGAATGGACTCAAAACACTTATCTTTCACGGTCATTTTCACTTTGAGTATGAGTCAGAGGTTGTGTGGTGCCGGATCTGATGAAGAAGGCTGAGGAGACGCCATGGTATTCCTACAAGGCTGCCTTTCTATTGGACAAAACTAAGCAACAGTATTTAGTGTGTTTTTTATTACATGCTGTAAAGACACTCATGCAAGATGACTTTCAGAACTGCCTCAGAAAGTGGCCCGGATGGTGGAATAAATGTACTCAGACTGAGGGGGATATTCTGACAGGGATGAGAAGCCCCGTGTCTTTTACTGTGATTTTTAGAGTTTACTTAGACACTCATCATACGTTTGTGGCACATCTTTTATGGCGACTCTTGGACGCTTCCCTCTTTCTCGGTGAGCCCAGGTCCAAGTCTTTGTGTGTCTTTTCTAACTCTTAGTCAAAGCAAAATAAAAGATAACTAGTTTGACATTGTTAATTTTAGCGCATCCACCTCCTGCAGTCACCGATTTCTTAAAATAAGGATTCTACACTCAATGGCTTCCTTGTCCTCAGAGGACACAAGCTCTCTGGGCTTTCTAAGCCAGTTGGGCTCATCAGCTTTGGAAGAAGCTGGGTTTTATCTAACAGCCCTATATTCCAATGCTGTCTAGGAAGTGGAACACTTTGGCAGGGGACACTTTTATTTAAGGTGCAGCATAAGCTCCTAGAGTCATCAGGTCATGAGCTAGAACTCACCTGAATGCTGATACTCGACAGTCTGAAAAATAGCTCTTGATGCTGCTGTTTCGGAAGAGTTGGTTGAGCTGAAAGATGGGACGATAGTTTTTAGGTTAGAACCCAAAATGCAATACTAGGAGAATCTACAGTCACTGATCACATATGCCCATCTTTTTGTCTTACAAGCCCTAGTTCAGGCCAATGTTGTGTTCCAAGGTGTGGTATAGCTGGACTCTACTGAGCCTCTCTGCATCTATTTCTTAATTTGCAAAAGGAGAATGAAAGTCTGTCTTCAGCAGCATACTATTCTGATGCATTCATACTGTGAATTCCTAATAAGTGCTACTTAAAAACTCTAACGGGAACAGGTGTCAAGGGTCATCCTCTGGCGACCCACGTCCGCAGCTCAGCCTCTGCCTGAGAACAGGTCGGCAGTCCCCACGCTCACCGCGCTCTCAATGCTTCTTTTGTTGCGCTGGTGCTGGGGGGTGTCTGGCTGGGAGATGGCCTGGGAATAGGGTAGGTTGGTGATGGTGAAATTCAGCTGGAACTGTTGGGAGCTGGAAGCGGTTGGTGGCATTTCTGTTGGTAGAGTGACAGATGGCTTCACTTCTGGAATGAAAAGAAAAATTGTGTAAGAATTGCTCAAATCCAAGAGCAAGGGAAAGTTTTAAGAAAGTTCAAGCCGTTCTACTTATTCCTGGCAATGGGACCTCCAGTGAGGTTTTGAAAGTGGGCCACAGAAGACCCCACTACTTTGTATCCATCCCATTCATCTATCTGCTCACTTTTCTTTTCATTAATGTGTTTGGTACAGGGTCTCACCATGCAGCTCAGACTCACAGTGACCCTCCTGTTTTTAGCTTCCCCAGCACTGGGATTATAGGTGAATGCCACCACATCTGGACTGGTTGCTGGTTCAGTGTGCCCTGGGGGCGGGGCCGGCATGGCATGATGGACCAGGGATCAAACTCTGGTCCCTGCACTTGCCAAAGTAGACACTTAGTCTGCTGAGCTATCTCTCCAGCCCTCTTTTTTTAAAAAAAATTTTTTTTTTGAGACAGAGTCTCATTATGTAGTCCAGGCTGGTCTTGAACTCAATCATCATCTTGCTTTGGCCTCCCAAGTGCTGGGATTGTAGCCATGTGCTACCACAACTGACTTGCTTGACTCTTTTTCTTACCAAGCCAAAAGAACTGTGTATGAGGAAAAGGAGAATGGGTCTCTTTAAAGCATGGACATCAAATAAGGTACTGATAACCCCAGCACGTATGTGTCACATACTTCTTTTTCCTTTCATAGTAATTTTCATTAGATATAGTTGTTGCCTCAGTCTTGTTGCCTAGAGTCTCATTCATTGAAGACAGCAGTTCGCAAGTGTAAACAATGAGTCACACCGTATCATACATCAGATGAGACACCAGTCACAATACGCTGAATTTCACTGAAGACTTTAAAATACAATATCACAATCCTAGACACTTGGTTACTGTCCATTTTCAGCCATTATAATGTTCAAGGATGGTCAACATACTTCAGTTTAAATCTATAACTCATTCCCATGCTGTTTTTGAGCACTACTTTCTCCATGCCCAATTCCCATGAAAGAAGAGCCGTCACTAATGGTTCACATGCACATCAGGAAGAACACCAGGCCTGAGCTGAGTGTTGTGCTAGGTGCCCAATCAGCTTGTAAGTGGTGCGTAACTTCCTGCACTTTAGTGTGACCAAAAAACCCTGAAGTCGATTATAAGCCTTTAAAGTATTAAAGATGTTTGTCTTTTTAAAAATAAACTTTACTTTTTTGATTAATACAGGTAACATGCTTCTTAATCCCACTTTTCCACGTTGTGCCTACAAAAGATAAATCTTCCTAAGAGACATTATTGCTCTTACAAGGTAAAAGGCTACTGAATTAGTTATAAAGTCAGCCATCACATCCTTTTGCAAGAGATCCTCATTCATGCCCTAAGTCGTTGCTGTTGCTGTTGCTGTTGTTGTTTTTCTTCTTTTTATATTTTAATAATTTTATTGAGACAGAAGTAGCAATGAGACAGTTTCAAAACAGGTTAGTAGTACAGTTACAATAATTAATACATTGCATATTGTTGCCTTTGTAGTAGTTATTCCTAGTACAAGATGCAGACATGATATCTTGTCCAAACACTATTAGTTCAAAACCTTCTTCTCACTGAACTAAGAGAAAGCTATATATTTATGCTATTTTGTATATACAGACATATATATATATATAATATTTATATTATATATATATTTCCACTACAAAATGGTCCATTTATATCCCCTTTTTGTTTACTTTTATCAGAGATGTGTATTCCATTGCCATTCATATATTGTGGGTGCATGAATTCCTCCTCCTCTTCCTCTTCTTCTTCTCCTTCTCCTCCTCCTCATTCTCCTCCTCCTCCTCTTCCTCCTCTCCTCCTCCTCCTTCTCCCCCTTCTTTCTTTTTCATATGAGGTCTCACTACACAGCTTGGACTCATAGTGATCCTCCTCTCTTAGCTTCCCCAGTGCTGGGGTTACAGGAGTGCACCACCATGCCTGCTTTCTGCAACACCATGCCTGGTTTGGAAGCTGGCACCATGCACCTGGGGTTCTGAGGCTGGCATGGCATGTGGTACCAGGGATCAAACTCAGAATCTTGAGCTTATCAAGCAGGCAGGCTCTCATACTGCCAAGCTATCTCCCCGGCCCTGTAAGTTCTTACTTGATGGATCTTTTTGCCTCTGGCCTTCTTCCTCCTTCCAAGGCAGGCTGGACATCATTGGGTGCACTTTTAAAATCAGATTCCAAGTGTGTGAGGTCCGTGTTGAAACCATTTCATAGCCCAACAAAGTCCCTACCCACAGTTTAGCTTCAACTGTGGAGATTCTATAATGTCACAGCGCATATCCAGCCACACTAAACTTCATACACATTTCCCTTCCAATATTCCACATTCTTCCTGTCTTCTAGGTTATGGACACATGGAACACGATTCCACATTGTGGCTGCCTGGCTAGGTCTTTGTGTCCATCAGATCTCAGCTTCTTCTTCATTTCCTACAGGGAAGTTTTGCAGATGGAGCTGTGTCTCCCTGCTTGGGGCTCCCACAGACCCTGGAAATTCTCTTACTGTAGCAAATGTCACATTTTATCACCAGTGCCTATTTGTTTTCATCAAGTATTTGTGGAATGAAAGAACTAATCAATACATTATTCAGAACAAGTTGTATATGGAGGCAACTCTCAGTACTCCATATTTTGGGGTTAAAAAGTTTGCATGCAAAAATAATCACTTATTTGGGTTGCAAGTGTTATGTTCTCTTTCTCTTCCTGCTTCTGCTGGAGGACCCATTGCCAGGGCTGTCAGTGTGGGACTCTAGAAATCCCACTTTCCCCTGTAAGACCTCTGTCCATCTAATTGCTTCTCTAAAAGACCCACCCTTCTGCATAATCTTTTTCAGCTACAAAACAGACTGTCTCACTTTGTACCTGTCACATGTAGGCCCGTCAGCTGATAGGTGGCGCCCAGCCAGTGGGACGAGGCATTCAAGGTCTTATTTAGAAAAACTTGTTTCACAAGGTCGGGGTCCAGATGGGTGGAGAAAAATAACTTGACAGTGACCACCTTGGAGTCTAACCTAGAAACAGAGAGCACAGGAATCCTGTCAGTACCCGATACAACAGCAGCTAAGACCACCAGCAACTTAGCCAGAAGATTGCTTTCCTCATGTTGCCATCTTTAAGGAGCCAGTGGCCTGGGGGAAGGAAGTGGAAGTCACCCAGATGCTTCTGCACCCAGATGCACTCAGTCTGGAGCAGAGACTGAGTGAAATGAGAAGGCTTACAAATTATTCCAGCTAGAAGCACTAAAAGTAACCATGATAAAGATGCAGTAAAAGAAGTGATTTATGCAGCTTCTTGTCATCATCAAGGAGGGAGGTAGTCTTATACTGCTAAAGACAAAGAAACTGAAGCTTGGAAGTACTGTCAGCACTATGTTCAGTGACCCTCGTCTTCTCCCATATTTATGTTTTAGTTCCTTCCCCAAGCTCTGAGAGGCATGGGTTCAAATCTCAACTCTGACCGTCCTTGAGGAATTCATTCCTCTGCGCCTCAGTGTCAGGTTAGATCTAAAATACCTCCATGAAGGATTACGTGTTCAGAGGTAGGCCTTTTGGGAGGTGGTTGGGTCACCAGAGTGCTAAACTCTTCAGTGAATGAATCCATTGGTGAGTTTGCAGCTGAATGTCTGCAGGAGGCGGGGTCTGGTTTGGGGAGGTGGGTCACTGAAAGCGTAGCTTAGAAGGGTGCACTCTTGTCTCTGGTCTTTATTTTCTAGCAGCCATAGGGGAGCAGCATTCCTGTGCTCTACCCTTCCACATTTGGGCCTGGGAAGCTCCATCTTGACCACAGACTGAACCCACTGAAATCATGAAACAAAAACAAACCTCTTTTCCTTTAAGGTGTGTATCTGAGATATTTTTGTCTCAGAAATCTGGAGCTGACTAATACAGTTTTACTATCTGAACAAAAGAGATGTTCATTGTATCCACCTTACAGGGGCTGTTGTGAGAATTAAACAAGACACTCATGCATAGAAGCTCTCACTGAGGACATGGCCCATAGTAAATGCTTATTATTTGGCTGGTATTTTGAGTTTATTTCCCATATCTGCTTTTCCTACATTTCTAGAACAGGAGAAAGAAGTGGATGCTGGGACCTGGTGGCTCCATGTGGAGCATCCTCATTTCCTGCAGTGAAATCTATAGAAACAGATTTCTATAGAAAATCGATAGCCTGCGGGAGAGGCCTACAGGAATGTGGAGAGGAGTGGGAATGTGCCACACAAGCCTAGAGCCACAAGTCACCCACTCAGACAAGGCTTCCAGCCTGCAGAACTTACGTGAAATTGGTGACCAGGCAGGATTGGAAGACAGCTTCTAGCTGGCTGCTCAGATAGAGTGCGGTGACCTAGAAAAGGACAGGGAGGAAGGGTGGGATAGGAGTATCTTAGGGCAGCAGGAAGAACACAAGCCTTGTCACAAGAGACTGGGGCTCAAATTTGGCTCTAGTCCTAACTTGCTGCTGGACCTCAGGCGCACCACACCCTTCTGAGTCTTAGTGTGTCAGTGTGACCATCTGGGAAGTGGGGAAGGCAGCCAGTGGGTCACTTTTGAGAACTCTGGGGGACACGGGACATATAGGTAAATAGAGGACTTGAAATAATCACTTGATAGGTGTGAGTCAGATGGAGCAATGAGGGGCACATGAAGAGAAGGGGAGAGGGGAGGATGAAGAGTCTCCACCTTGTCCTCGATGTCCCTCCTGAAGGCGCTGTACTCTGAGGATGCGGCATCTGCACTGCTGAGGTTCCAGTTGAGGACGTGGAAGCTGAGCTGGTACTCGCTCCAGCTGGTCACATTCTGGGTTACATGGCCTGCAGCCACAGAGAGGAAAGAAAAGACAGTCGGGGCCTCTTAGTGCCCTGCACAGAGTCATCGCATCCCAGGAGACCTCTTCACACCATCAGAATCCACCTCGATGGAGCCTGCAAGCTGGGGATGCAGAGGGCTCCCCAGTGGAAAGTCATCTCGAAGAGGACAAGAGAATGCTATGGGGGTTCTCATGATCTGAGCTTTCCGTTCTTTACTTAGCTGGTCCCATTTCTGGAATACTCTTTCATTGTCTTCTTAGCTTCAGTGAGATGGAGCTCCAGGAAAGAAGGGAACAATGTTGGATGTTTATGTCTTCTGGAAACATGCTATTACTGTTCTGGAAGGCCCACCCTGATTCACCTTCTGCATGAGCGAGTCCCCAAGGCATCTTGCAAATAACAGTGTGCTGATGTTACTGTGCTTACACACCATGAACACCACGTATGACCAATCTGCCACTAATAGCATATTGAATAGAGAAAAGTTAAAAGCATTTTTGTTAAGATCTGCAACATGACAAGGACGTCCACCTTCACCACCTTTATCCATCAGAGAATTGAAAGTCCCACAGAGGGAGAAAACACTGTTATTGTAGTAACATGGATGGAATCAGAGATGATTATATCAGAAAAATCAACCAGGTGCAGGAAGACAAGCACCAGGTGAGCTCACCCAGGTGGAACCTAAAATCGTCAGTCTCGTGGAAGCAGAGAGGAGACTGAGGTTAAACCAAAGGTAGGAGAAGAAGGGGAGAGATGGGGGCAGGCTGAACAGTGGGTGCTATGCTAGATGGGGCAAGAAGTGCTCATGTGCTATTCCACAGTAGGGCCACTACAGACAACAGGAATGTGCCATCTATTGCAAAAATCTAGAAGAATTTAAAGTTTTATGGTATATTATGAAGAGATGAGTTGAGCATGAGTCAAACATTACAAAATGTACACCATGCAGCATTGCATAGGACCCCATTAGCAATTAAAATAATTTTAATTTAAAAAAACAAAGAGAAATCACCAGGCAGAGTGGCTCATGCCTATAATCCCAGCACCCAGGAGGCTGAAGCAGCAGGATCTCTGGGCTTCATAGCAAATATTTGTGTGTGTGTGTGTGTGTGTGTGTGTGTGTGTGTGAGTGTGTGTGTTTTATTACAGGGTCTACAGGGTCTCACTATACAGGTCAGACTTGTAGTGATCCTCCTGTTTTCAGCTTCCTAAGTGCTGGGATTACAGGCATGTGCCACCATGCCCATTCTCAATCACTGTCTCAGTGTGCCCTGGGGGTGGGGCTGGCATGGCATGGCATGCTAGAGATCAAACCCTGGTCATTGCATATGCCCAAGTGGTGCTTTAGTCTGCTGAGCCACCTGGCCTGCCCCTTCCTTAGCAAGTGGAAAGCAGCCTGAACTACACAGTGAGCCTCTGTCTCAAGTAAAACAAAACAATGTTTAAAATGTTTCCATCACATGAAAAGGTTGTGGAGGTCTCTTGTAAAGCATGGTGGTTGCAGTTAATAATGCCATATTCTAGACTTGAAATTCTCGGTGAGGGAATCTCACCTCCCCCTTCCCCATGCATGCATCACACAAGATAATCATGTGAGGGGATCATGCACTGGATTATTTGACTGTGGTCATCATTCAGAAATTATACATATATCAAATCATAACATTGTTCAGCTTAAATATCTACAGTTTCTCTTGCCAGTTCTACCACAATAGCAGTGGAAGGAAGTGAATGAGAGGTAAACGCTTGAAACTTAAAATCGGTGACTGTGATTTGGTCGAAGAGTCCCGTGCTATTTATCTGAAACAATGGGAAAGACCATCTCTGCTGCCTTTTTGGAAAGGCCCTGGGCAGTCTGATTTACAGAGGATGGGTCACAGAATAGGGATGAATAATGGTCACTGTAAATCCATTCCAGCAGGAGCACTCACCATTGACAAAGAAGCTATCTGGTCCACACACAGAGTTAGGCCTAGCACAGAGGCACAGAGGCACAGAGGCCTAAACATCTGGTACACGGTGTTTATACTCAATTGTTCCCTTACTTTCTTCCATCCATCAACCCAAGCAATATTTTTTTTGCTGGAGGGAGTCTTGCTATGTTACCCATGGTAGTCTCAAACTCCTGGGCTCAAGTGACACTAGCATGTTACCACATCTAGTCACCCAACCATATCATGGCTATTTCTCTGTGTCCAGTCAACCATATGGAGGTGAACCATAGCTGATTTTATGGTGAGGATTTCTCAGCGCATGTCTCTAATTCCTCATCTCCTTGTGGTTAGAGATGTAAGCTGAGACTGATGCTTCCTTACCTGCAGGTAAGGGGCAGTTCTGGGGGAACAGAGGGTGTCAGTGAATACTCACCACTAGGGGGCGTTGTTGAAGTCTGGTTGGTGTAACCTGCAGAGAGAGAGAGAGAGAGAGAGAGAGAGAGAGAGAGAGAGAGAGAGAGAGAGAGAGATGTATGTTGAGAGTGGAATAGGAGCCCTGGAGGGCTAGAATGTGGGTTCTCCAATGCAGCCCAGCGTGGTGGCTGCTGCTCACCATTGACGTAGAGACTGTCCTGGTCCAAGGAGAAGTTTCCTAGCTGGGTGATGCTGTGGGTCAGTCGTCTCAGCTCCCAGTACAGCTGCTCACTGTCCAGCCCAGAACCCATGGGGTCAGGACGATAGGTGCAGGTTACATCCACGCCAGTGGCTTTGCTGTCCTTCTCAGGCCTGGGAGTAAAGGATATGGGGACTCTAGAGGAGTTCTCAGAGCTCTGGCTGGGGATGGGAACCAGAAGGAAGGAGCAGCAAGAACGAAACAGTGGGCAGAGAGAAAGGAAGCAGTCACAGAGAGGACCGGCCATTCCTGGTGGTGGCCAGACTGAGAGCTCACCTAAGGGAGGATAGCCAGCACCCTGTGTAGAAGGAGCCCAGGCTGGTGTTCTGGAATAAGGATCTGAGCTGCGAAGGGAGACGAAGGAGGGTCAGGAAGTCAGCAGTTGATGGAGTGCCTGGGTGGGATTTATTCCCCTGGACCGAGGCCTCACCAGGTACTGAAGGATCCTCTCGGTGGAGTTGAACTTGGCCGATCTGTTGCTCATGTCTGGTGAATACCCGAGGTTGGAGATGGTGAAGTTGAGTGTGAGGGTCTTTAGATGGTACCCCGTGGCTGCAGGAAGGGAGGAGGAGAGATGCCTATAGCTGAGAGCTGGCCGGATATCAGATAGGAATCCTACATGCATCAGCTGTTGGCCTCTACCCCAGCATCACCATTCCCGATCACCAATGTGACTGGCCAAGGTAGAATCTGCACCCTTCTCCACCTCTGGGTAATACCATTCTACTGGCAGAATGTTCCCCATGTCCATCCACTCTCCTTCCCCATCCCAGCTCTGGTCTTCTCTGAGCCAGGCTAGTGTCACAGCAGTTACTGGATTCTCTGTGTAGAGGGCTTTCTACTCAGGAAGACTGCAAGAATCTTTCTGAAATGGACATTTCACTAGGACTGACTGCTTTAGTACCTCCCATCATTCCCTATGGTCTTTGGTGTTACGTTCAAGCTTCTTGGGGTTGCATATCCTTTCCAGTGTGGTTCCCGTTGGCTGTCCAGTCTCATGTACCCAGGCATTCTGGGTTAACATTTACACTCCATGCAAAACAAATTCCCACCAAACCTCACAACACACTGTGCTGACTGAGGCTTGGCTTATGCAAGACCTTCTTCCAGGAGCACCCTTCATGCCCTATCTGCCCGAAGCCCTTCCATTCATGTTGAAAGACTCAGTTCAGGAAGGATTTCATCCAGAAACCCTCCCCCCTCCCTTCTGTGCCAGAATGTACCCTCTAGCCCCACATTTCATTATAATTGTCTGTTTATTTTACAAGTGGCATTTCTATGAGGGAAGGCTTATGCCTAAATTACTAGTCTAATCTGTGATTATATCCATCACCCTGACACAACGATCTTCACCTACTGGTTTCCTAGCTCTTATGTGACAGCCCACCCCTTTTGTTTTGCCTCTTCCCAGTCTTCTTCTTCCCCCTCCCATTTCCTCTTCCTCTGCTTCCTCTTATTCCTCCTCTCCATCATGCACTTTCTGTTCTGGCTTGGGTCTAGATGTCCCCCCAAAGCCTCGTGGGGCCAGGGCTGGAGCTTTTCAGAGGTGCCTGGATCTAGGATGTGTGATGCTGGCATTAACTGTGTGCAGCTGACATTAGGTTGTGTGATTACTTAGTCTGCTGATCGGTTTGGCATAGTTCTGGGTGTGGGTCGTGGGAAGGCCCTCCCCAGGTGTGAATGCTACCCTCTTAGGGGGTGGATCCTGGATAGAATATAAGAGGCAGCAAAGGCTGCTGTTGTCCTGTGTGCTTTTACTGCCTTCTGCCTGTCATAAACCGTTTCTCCTCTGTGATGCCCCTCTGTCATGCTACCTGCCTCAGAGCCAGCCAACTGTGGACTGAAATCTCTACAAACTCTGAGCTGCAATAAACCTTTCCTCTTTTAACTTTGGGTGTCAGGTATTTTGTTTTGGTAAAAAAGTAACTAAGACACCTTCTCCAAGGGAATATTACTTTATGGGAGGAAAAGGGGTTCCATAATACCTGGGGTGACTTCTGGCTGCACTGATACTGATGATGGCAGGAATGTGGTGGCTGGCGCAGGAGCTGCAGAAAGCATGGTCATCAGTGAGGGACAGAGACTCCACGGTGCAAGGGCAGCCCCTTTAGGCTCACTCGGTCTCCACCAGGCGACCAAGCCAGAACAACCATTTGTAAGTGGGACAGAAAGCAGATTGAGTGGAGGAGCAATCACGTGAGTAGAGGCATGATCAAGCCTTTGAATGAAATTAACTCAAGCAAATGAGAGAGGATGAATAAGAGAGGCATGATAAAGATGCTGAATGAATGAGCTGGCAGACAACGGATGTGTTGAAGGAATAGACAGAAGGAAAGATGGACAAGTGAAGGGTCAAGAGAGAATATAAAAATGAATAGAAACAAGGAAGAAAAGTTTTTAAGATGGAAGGAGAGGAAGAGGAAAGGCAAGAGGGTGATGGGCACCATGGTGGGTGGACAACAGAATGGTTGGCTGGATGGATGGAAAGAAGGATGAACAGACAGATCAAGGGGGAAAAGACCGGGTGGATGGATGGATGGGTAGATGGATGGATAGGCAGACAGATGAATGGGTAGCCAGAAAGATGATATATGGGAAAAGGAATAACTGGAAGTACGGAAAAATTGATGGCTGGAAAAATAGTTGAGTGGACAAATAGGTGAGAGAATGGGCAATTTGTAGTCAAAACCACTTGGGTAGCCACAGGCTTGCAGGTTGATAATGTAGCCCCTGGTGGGACCCCTGTAGATTTGCTAAGTGGAGGCCTGAGCTACATGGTCACCATCTGGCCCCAGCCTTTAACCCCTGTAGGAGATTTATTTTCAAACTCCTACTCTACCCCAACCCAGAGGAGCATGGCAAATTCAGAAACTCAGACCCCAAAAGGACTCAGCATTCTTGCTCCCACTGAAATTTTAGCTCTACTCAGGAGATGGTCTGAGTTTGTGGCAAGCTCCCTCTGCAAATGAAGAGAAAATCTTGGCCCAAGAGCTACAGAGGCTGGAAGGAACACTGGATTTAGATACCTACTTGTGGGAGGCTCTTCTGGACCAGGTTCATTATAACCTGAAAAAGAAAAGTCACACATAAAGGGAGGTGGGAGAACATTCCATGCACCATGCTTAAACCCTGGTGTGTGCTCCTGCCTGGGTAACTTCCTGGATGTACTCAGTGTAATTAACTCACTTTCTCTATCTGCCTTAAATATCGTCATGAAAAATAACTTCCTGATACTAGACCTGTCTCTTCCTTATCCATATTTACAAGATGCTCCCAATAAGAAGCTATTATAAGATTTAGCCTCATTCCTCTGTCCCCTTGCATCTCCATCCACTCAACTATCCATCCACCCACCAACCCACCCACCCACCCACCCACTCATCCACCCATCCATCCATCTATCCAGGCCATCCCCTGCCTTTCTATCCTCCCTCCAACTTATCCTTCAATCTAATGGATATCTAATGAACATTTATTATGTCCAGGGCTCCTCTGATATTTGGGGTAGTTTTGAACAAAACAGTCACTGCCCCACTGGCATTTATATTAGTACAGGACACAGGTATGTGAGGTATGTGTAAGTTACCTCTCTCTTCAATGCCAGGTACAAAGTGAGGATTGTAGTACACACTTGATAAATACCAAGTGGACACCAAAATGCATTATATAATCTGTACAGTTTATGATGGGGAAGATCCTATACAAGCCCTTCCATTGGTCCAATCAAAGGACCCAGGTACAAAGTCAGAATATTGAGATCCAGATTGGTCACAAAATTACTATGAGTTGTGAGCAGACCCCCTTTCCTCCTTGTGACTTAATTTGCCCCTTTTTAAAAATGGGAGTTGTGAAGGCCCAGAATGTCCCCTTTTTCACTTCATGGGGCAACTGTGATGAGAGTATGAGTTCCACTCCAGGTTGGGGACAAGAGAAAGGGGAAGGTAGGAATTTAATGAAGTCCTCCATGGTCACCCTTTGCCTCCAGCAGCCCCACAGCAGAAGTGCCCTCTGCATCCTGTGTCAACACGGATGCTAGTTCCCCATGTTTCTGGGGCTTTGATGCCTAGAGTTTCAGAGTGCCTGCCTTCCTTCTAGGACAGGAAACCTGCCCAAAAGCACTGGCTATAAAGAAAGAGGAAAACTCCGAATGGGAGGACAGAAGTGTTTCCCTCCTGAGGTCTCTCCAGGCTGAGCCTTCTGTGTGTTTATGCATAAAGCAGAGCCTGGTAATGCAGGGTGAGAACAGAAGCTCATGCTGCACCCAATTTACCTGGGTAAACTGCTTACCCATCTCAACCTCAGTTTCTTCACCCGCAGAGAGGGACTCACCAAGAACTGGCCTTGCGTGATGGCTGTGAGGTCTGGGTGGGTGAAGGCAGGATGCACACCCCAAGTCTAAGGAACTGGTAACTAGCTGCACACATGGGCTGCAGGAGTCTAGGGAGCTGGGGCTGACTCACCATTGAGGTAGAGGCTGTCTTTGTCCAGAGAGTAAGGACCCAGCCGGGTGATGCCCCGGGTCTGCCAGCTCAGCTCATGGAAAACCTGCTTGGCAGACAGACCCGGGCTGCTGGTGGGCTGGTGGTAGGTGCAGAGCATGTCCACCTGTGTCTGAGCACCATTCTTTACAGACCTGGGGAGGGGGAGAAGAGCTCTCAGGGGACAGGGACCACCTGGCATCTCTGTACCTGTGGCCACTGCACACCTCATGGCCAGCCTTCTGGTCTTGTTGAACCATTTGCTGCATCGACATGTAATCATACTTCTGTCTGGAAGATTCTCCTTCTCCCTCCCTCCCTCCCTCCCTCCCTCCCTCCCTCTCTCCCTCCCTCCTCTCTTTTCTTTCTCTCCTTCCTGGTTTACTTCTCAGGTACACTTCAGATAACATTACTGCTTCAAGGTACAGCCATTCTTACAAATAACTCAGGTTTATTTCTCTCTACGGCAGCCTAGCGCTCCACTGTGTGTCAATGCAACACGATTTTATCCGTTAATCTGTTGATGGGCATATAGGTCACTTCCAAGAGTTTGCTGTTATGAACTGGGCTGCTAGACACACGGCATTTGTGTCTTGCTATGCTATGACGTCCTTAGGATTCTTCCAGGAAGATACCTAGACAGGGACTGGCTGCGTCAAATAGAATTTCTAGTGTTACTTTTTGAGGAATCACCATATGCAATAAGCCAGCCGCAGAATGACAAATACAGTACCATTCCACACATAGGAGATCCCAACAAGTTTCTAGACATAGGAAATAATGGGGGTGGTGGGGTGGGGAGGAGGAAAAGGGCACCAGCGTTGAATGAGGACTGCGTCTGAGACTGTATTTACTGGGTATCACAAACATGCACTAAAATGCAAATTTAGAAAAAAAAATAAAAGAAGAATGTAAAAGACCAAAAGAGAACATAAACAGCTCATGCCAGTGCCACATTCCGAACTCCAAGTCCTCCTGCACTGGATGTGGTGGGGAGGAGGGGGAGCACGCGATTGGTGGTGCTTCTTACCTCAGCGCCTCGAGTTTGCACCCTGTGTGCCGGGCACCCAGGCTACTCCTCCGGAGCAGAGGGCTGAGCTGGAAAGGAAGGGAGGAACCAGTGTTGCTCAGAGAAAGGAAATAGTCCTAGAATGGGGGTGGAGGCATAGGAGGGGGTCTCCGGCCACTCACCAGGTGCTGCATGACTGTGTCTGTGATGCTGAACTTGGGCGAGCCAGGATGGCCCATGTCCACCGAGTAGCGGAGGTTGTTGATGGTGAAGTTCACCGTGAGCAGCTCCTCACGGACCGCCTTGGCTATTGCGGGAGAGAGAGAGAAAGCTCACAGGACAGGAGGTCAGTGGGGGTTCCCTTGGAGAGGGGCAAGGGCAATGGTGGGGCTTCCTAGGCCCCTTTGTGAGTCTCTTGGTAAAGCAAGGATGACTTTCTAATGGAGACAGCTTCAGCGGTGAATTAAAGGCCCCTTTGATTTAGGAGTTCAGTAAAAGATAAAAGATATGTATGATAAGAAGAGAAACCAGAGTATAATTGATTTAGGGGCTCAAATGCTTTGCCCCCACACACATATGCAGGATGGAGCTCTCTGTGAAAACACCAGCACAGCCTTATCTGTCTGCGGGCCTTTTTTAGCTGGGGATCGGACTCGGGGCCTCTTCACTGAGCTGTGTACCCCCAACACCTTAAACATTTTGTATTTAATTTTGACGCAGGGTCCTAGTAAGTTGCTCGGCTTTGCCTTGGATCCGCAACCTTCCTGCCTCAGGCGTGCACCGCTACCGTGCGCTCCTTCGGATGAGAAAGGATCTGTGTGTAGCGTGGCTGCCGAGTAGGAACTTGGAGTCAGGCCCCTGCGGATGCGGGGGATAAGTCCCTAGTGGCGAAAATCGCTTCACACTTTTGTTTCAGATAAAGCCCTATCAGAGAGAGAATCAGCAGGAACAGGCTAAATCCCACCCAGAACTTGTAGACGGAAGAGGAACCGGTGCCTACTGTGATGTCCTTACACTGCCCTATTCTTCACCCTGGAAGTTAGTTCCATCTGCCTCTTTAAAGTGGCAATGTGTGGAAGAAACTTCATATGCTCAGGAGCGTGTGTACCTCTACATGCCATGAGAGGTTGCCCCAGCACGAACATGCAGAGGCTTCCTTGTTTCCGTTGTTTGGGGTGACACTGCTTTGGGAGTTTACCCAGATGTCTCTTACTTGCTGCCATAGAAGATTTCTCCTCACTCTCTCTTTCCCCTGGCTGCACGTACGAGGTCGCCATGCTGTTCCTCTCTCCCTCTCCCTCTCCCTCTCCGTCTCTCTCTTCCTGTCTCCCTCTCCCTCTCCCTCCCTGTCTCCCTCTCCCTCTCCTTCGTTCCCCCCTCACCCCAACAATCACCAACCTCCCTGCTGTTTGACTTGCACACCCCTAGATTAAGGTCATGATCACGGCACTGATTTCTACCTCAAGGCTTGAACAAATTGACATTTGCACAGTAATTAAACAAGGGTGGGCACAGGGTAGACATGGCCCTCAGTGTTTATGACATAAGTAATGAGTGTTCTCTGATGACTTGCTATGTGGTATAGTTTTAATATAAATATGAACTAATGTCTAATATCTCTGAAAGGAAAGTTTACTTCTCTCTATCTCCCTCCTTTCCCTTGGGTAGTTCTTCCTTCTCTACTTTTGCCTCTTTATAGTTCCACGTTTCTTTGCACGCATGCATTTGCCTTCCCTTTCTCCGTCATCCATCCTTTCACCATTATTTTCCTTAACTCATTCATCTATCCTTTTTCCTGGCCTCCTTTCTTTCCTTCCATCCATCCATTCATCCTTTCCTTCCTTTCTACGTTTACTCTTCTCATTTATATCCCTTTCTTTCTATGTTTCCATATCCACATGTCCTTCTATCCATCTTCTCTTCCATCCATTAATCTTTGTTTCTGTGCTGCGGTTTTTCTTCCATCCCTTTATCCAAGGCTCCTTCTCTTTGCCTTCCTTTCTTCTTTCCTCCCTCTCCCTCCCTTCCCTTAGTTCCTTTCCTCCTTCCTCCTTGTTTCTGCCTATCTATCTAGTCTCCCTCCTACTTGCATCTCTTTCTTTCATTCATTAACCCACGAATGCAGGCATTTTTCCTTCCACTCCGCTTCTGATCCATACCAACTTCTACCCAGGTTTTTGTTCGAAATTCCCCCCACTCTTTCACTGATCTTTCCTTGCATTTCCCTTTACATTTTCCCTTTCATTTCTCCATTCATATTTTCTTCTTGTTCCTTGCATTTACTTCCATTAGTTTGCCTACAAATTCATTCATCTTTCTTTCCTTGTGTCTGTTTTCCTTTCTCCTATTTATCCACCTCTCCTCCATTATCTTTTTCTTTCTGTCCATCCTTTCTTATCCCAACCATTTGTACACCCTTTCTCTCTCATTCTATTCACCCATCTTGTCCTTTCATACATAGCAAATTGGTTCTAGAGTGTTCCAGGAACCATTCCAAGGATTGGAAAACCATCAGGGGAGCAGATACTAATTTTATTTTTCTCTTATTGTTTTGGAAAGGACGGCTGTTATTGGATCTTAACAACCCAGAATCACTTTATTTTTGCAAAGAACAAGGAAGGGTAACTAGCCATAGACCCAAGCAGAGCTTAGAGAGTGGAGAAGGCACATATTTAATGCAAGAATCATTTGAGCTTACAAAATTCTCATGATGAGAAGCTTGCTGGGAATGTGACGAACATTTGACTTGAACATAATATGTACACACACACACACACACACACACACACACACACACAGCATGGTCATTAGACTAAGTCATTAGGTGATAAACAGCACAGAGAGTTAGGCCAGATTTAGAGTAAAGAGAACTGGATCTATTATTTCTTTCTTTCTTTTTTTTATCTTACCACATGTGATTTATTTTGTTTGCAATTATATACTCTGCAGGATATTATTTATTTCTTTGAGGTGTTGGCAGGCTAAGGCTAAGCTTCTACACCTGTACAACGAAGCTGAGTCACATAGTTGGAGTAAGAGTTAAAGGAGACAATGTTTAATCCGTGCCATCCTCCAAGGTTGAACCTCCAGGACCTCAGAATATCAGGATATGACTCTATTTGGGGAGGAGTACACAAGAGCAGTGCTCAAACAGGGTCATCAGGTTGGGTCCTCATCCAAATTGATAAGGATCTTTTACAGAAGACATCTGAGTGAGATACACACAGAGGAAAGGCCGAGGAGGACACAGCTGTCTATATTTCAGGGGAAATGGAAAGAAACAAACGTGCCAATACTTTGATGTTAGGACTTCAGCCTCCAGAACTAAGACAAACTAAATACCTGTCATGGGAGCCTCCCAGGCTGTGTTATTTTCTTACAGCATCTTGGGAAGACTAAGAGGATGTGTGATTTAGCGCAGTACTTGGGGGAGTTTAATAAACAATTGCTGAAAACCTGACAAATGTGACACTGATCTTCAGAGTGTGTTGGAACAATAGCAGCAGCAGCAACAACCACAACCGCAACCACAAAAACAACAACAACAATAACAACAACAACAAAATAGAGATGAATTTAAAGGATAAGAAAATGATACAGTTAAAATAAAATACCATGGAGACTGGGATTGAGAGATCCAAGGCAGAAATATCAGTGCATCCTGGCACTAGCCAAGAAAGTATACCTGACACAGCTCCTAAAAATGACTGAAATTTGGGAGATTTTTGACAAATATTTCTGTCAAAGAAAAAATGAAACTGAAGCTTGCCAACCAGAAGTTGTGAACTGACATAAAGAAAGAGGGATGTGGGATAGATCCAATGAGAACTACAGCGTGGTAACTAGTTGAGGGTTTTCTTGGCTTGGCCTCCTATTTATCCAAGAAAGTCCTCTTGCTTTCCTTCTCTGGGGGCACCCAAAGCCATCTTCTGCTTAATGGTTCCTGCTTCATGAATCACCACTTGCTCATTAAATTAAATTCTGGGATTTTCATTGCGCCTTGGTTTGCCTTGAGCAGTGACACGGTAGGACTGTGGGGTAATGAAAGTGAAAAGGGTTCTGACATTCTGGTCAGAACATGATGGGAGAATAGATCCGTGCATCAGCCCTCTCTGCTCCTCACCTGGAGTTCTTTACCAAGATCCAGGGGAAGAAAAATGAAGAACTAAGGACATTTCCCTCCCTGCGTTTTCCTCAATGAGGAGAGAATGAGGACAACAGCTATTTTCCAACAGCAAGTGGAGGCGTGACCCAGGAAACCAAAGCTAGGAATACTCACTGGTAGGTGTAGCAGTGGTGCCTTCAAAGGTGTAGCCTGTAAAGAAAAATAAAGTTGAGAACACTGGGTAGACATAAAAGATACATGATACAGAAAGACTTGTAGACCAGCTAGGTAAAAAGGAAGGAAAAGAGGCAGGGAATTGGATGTTTAGGAAGGAGTCCAGCAGGTGATGAGATTGAAGCCATTAGGAAAATTCAACTTTCCAACTGAGAGAGATTGTGGTACAATGCCGTCCCTCACCATTGATGTAGAGGCTCTCTTTGTCCAGGGCATAGTGGCCCAGCTGGGTGACACCATGGGTTTCATGACTCAGCTCCCTGTATAGCTTCCTTCTGTCCAGCACAGAGCTTGTGGAGGTAGAGTGGAAGGAGCAGAGGATGTCAACTCCTGTGGCTGCACCACCTTTCACACGCCTGGTGGTCAAAAGACACGGGGACACAGAGAGAGGGTTTGACCATGCTAGGAGTACAATGCAAAAGAATAGAAGGGAGTAGGATTGGGGAGATGCTGAGGCACTTGGTGTGAAGCATCCTGGGTGTGATTTGTATGGGACAGTCTACACCTATAGGAGACAGAAAACTCTGAAAAGCACTGCAGATGGGAAGTGTGGTGGGCCTACTTCTTGTACAAGGGTAATCCTCCTATAAAGCAGAATAACATCAGAGTTTTGTACGGTCAACACAGTTCCTCATCTCTAAGGCAGTAATAAAAACCCTTCATTCTCGTGCTATAGGAAGGCATGAGGGCACCACAGTGTGCCCCGGTTCTAGCGAGGCCTGTGCCCTGCTGAATGGTGCAGGAAGGTCTGCTGGATGGGATGAGTCACCCCACCTGGGAGGCTCACCTGAGTGCAGCCAGGTGGCAGCCAGGGTACAGTGGCCCGATGCTGGTCTTGTTCAGCAGCAACCTCAGCTGTAGGCAAAAGAAAAGGCGATAAGTGAGGATGGCTGAGGAGGTTGAAAAGGCAAGTGTGAGACTGGGGGCCTGGGGCCATGGACATGCTGGTACCTGGCGCTGAAGGATTCTCTCGGTAGTGTTAAATTTCAAGGAGCCTGGGTTCCCCATTTCCTCTGTGTAATCCATGTTGGTGATGGTGAAGTTGATGGTGACCCGAACAATGGTGGAGCCACTGACTGTAGTGTTGGAGGAAGAGAAAAGGGTCCAGTTTGGGTCATAGTCATGAGTTAGTTTTCTTCCAGCCTAGACTGTGGGATTTTTGACTCTGGATGTGAGGAGCTAAACAAGGGCAATTCTGAAATACCTAAGTGATCAGTAATGTTTATTCACTTACTCAATGAACATTTGTTGGGTGCCTGATGGGCTCAAGATTCAGTGATGGGCTCTGGTGAGTCCAAAGTGTAATAGGACACAATGGCTCAACGTGGAGGGCATGGAAGTAAGAAGACAATCATGCTTCCAGGCGAGTTGGCAAGGAAAACAGGTATGTAATATCAGGAAGAACCCCAAGCAGTGGATGAGGAAAGTTTCCTGGAGGGAGGATCATTCCAGGATTAACTGACACCATGGTGCAAAGTTTAGTTGATTGAAATCAGCCAGGCAGGGAGAGCTTCCTCAGCAGAAGGGATCACCTAGTTGAAGCTCAGGCTGGGGCACAGCCAAGGCTCACTTGGGGAATCTGCTGTTCCTACACTGTGGCTACAGGAAGGCATGGATGTGAGGAGGGAAGGCATGTCTGAGCCCACAGTGGGTACTGAGTGACTGTGCACTGCAGGGCTGGGAGTACGCCTTGTAGACTGAGTGGAGTCTTCCAAAGATTGTCAACAAGGTGGGCATTCCATGGGAAAAGGCCCCCTGAGAAGGAGGCTGCTGCACCTGCTTGGAGGAGAGTTGGAATCCAGAAGAGAGGTGTTGCCCTCATCCCAGCAAAAAGCATGCTGGAGCTTTAAATAAAGCTTGTATGAAAAAGTGGCCAAGAAAGCAAGGACTTGAGAGCTATGCCAGACTGAGAAGAGGCGATGTGTGGTGGTGGATGGTTCTGGTAGGTGAGTGACAGGAGGGCTGATGGCTTTGGTGTTGAAGGGAAATAGGTTTGGGGGGCAGTGATGACATCAGCCTCAGCGATCAGTGTGGGTCTCAGCGGTGTCTGGGACATGAGAGTGCCAAAGGGCAGAAGCTGCAGTGTGTCATTGGCTGGCTATTGGGTGGTTTCTGAAATCCACAGAAATGGATGAGTTCTTTGGGTGAGGTGAGTGATCATGGGAGAGGTGATCAGATATCGAGTCACTATCAAGCTGTTAGGTAACAATTCTATTGGCGTCAACAGGAGCCTGTAGACCTTCATACCTGTGGGCCGGATTGTGGATGATGGAGCTGGAGACGATGCTGGGAAGGACATGTTGCTCACAGTTGCTGAGGAGAGCAAAAGATCATGAATGAAATCTGAACTATGTTCCCGCTCTAAGGAAATGAGGGTAGCTGTTCTGACTGTAGCCATGAGTTTGTGCTGTGGGCCTTCCACCTTCAGTCCGAAGTCAGAGCATCAGCACTACATGCATGTGAAGGGTGGTGGCTCCTGCCACCTTCAATTCATTGGACATTTCTATACATGTCCTATGGATTTCTTCCCATGAAACAGAAAAGGTAAGAGGAAGAGGAGGAGCTGGCTGCTGGAGCAGCTCTTTGTTGTGGGAGGAAAGGGGTGGGCAGAGGCACCCAGCAGTCTGGAATGCACACTGTTGGGGACAATACTTGAGGCTGGGTAGGTGTAGTCATCAGGGTCCTGAGAGATGATGGGGAATGGAACAGGAGACATCACCAAGGGAGACGCTACTTGGCCACTGGAGATGAGCCATGGGTGACTGCGGTACCCCAGGTTTGATACTTTAAAAAGAACACAATTGCCCCATCCAGTAGGGATGGAAGTCTACTTTCTATGTCAGCATGGCCAGTGGCTGACTTAAAGATCTCTGATGTGAGTCCCATGTGAATTATGCACAGTGGCCTTGTGCAGCAAAGCCTCCTCAGGCTGAAAGAAGAAACCAATATCCTGACATGGACTTAACCGTGGATGTAGGTGCTGTGGTAGCAGAAGGTGGCAGGAAATCCCACCAGTGCTAGGGTTGTAGACACTATCATTCTAGAGATACCAGGGAGGAGATGCCTGTGTATGTGGAGAATTAGGGGATATACATGCATAACAGTTTACAGTACTACTGAGAAGAGGTATGGACTCTTGTTTTTTTCTGTTGCTCAGGTTTGGGGCTTGGACAGAGGTATTTTTCAGGACTATAAAGAATCCTTCATCTATGATACTCACTGCTGGAGGTAGTCCTCAGGGTGTGGTGGTTGTAGCCTTTACAGGGAGGGAAAGGACAGGGACTGATGAGAATACAAGAAAGAGAGAGGATATGCAACTCACTGGGCTTGTAGAGATTTCAAAGCCTCTCACCGTTGACGTAGAGGCTGTCATTGTCCAGGACATACTGGCCCAGTTGGGTGACACCATGGGTCTCATGACTCAGCTCCTTGTACAACTTCTCTCTGTCCAGCATAAAGCCCGTGGAGGTAGAGTGGAAGGAGCAGAGGATGTCAACTCCTGTGGCTGCACCACCCTTCACACGCCTGGTAGACAAAAGACATGAGGACACAGAAAGGGTTTGACCATGCTAGGAGTACAATGCAAAAGAATAGAAGGGAGTAGGATTGGGGAGATGCTGAGGTGTCCTGCTGTGATGCATCCTCAGTGTGATTTGTATGGGACAGTCTATTCCCATGGGAGACACAAAACCCTGAAAAGCACTGCAGATGGGAAGTGTGGTGAGTCTACTTCTTATACAAGGGCAATCCTCCTATAAAGCAGAATAACATCAGAGTTTTGTACAGTCAACACAGTTCCTCATCTCTAAGGCAGTGATGAAAACCTTCATTCTTGTGTTATAAGAAGGCATGAGGGCACCACAGTATGCCCCGGTTCTAGCGAGGCCTGTGCCCTGCTGAATGGTGCAGGAAGGTCTGCTGGATGGGATGAGTCACCCCACCTGGGAGGCTCACCTGAGTG